CTGAAACAACAATGGCATACCATTGTCTCTGTGCTGCTACTTCTTCCACTATATAAGTTGGATTTAGTGAGGCGCAGACTCTAAAATGTTCAAGTCAGTATACTTCACACTCATTCTTGCAGTGGATTTTCTTATTCAATCTTAATGTTTCATGATACTTGATCTTGTGATCTGGTGTCTTCACTGATTTCAGTTCCTTTCAACACTTTCCACATTTTCCTCTAATTAATATGTGAACGAATGCATAACAAATTTCATTACTAGTTATTTCTGCTCTAATTTGTTATGATATCTTTGGAGGCTTAAATGCTTACCCTTCTGCCAAGTCATTCTTTCCTTGTACGAATTAATGATTGTTATGCCAACTATTTTCAGGTTCAATCCATTTATCTCAAGATTTATTGATATATTGTGCATGGTACCATGCAGTTCCTGGAAAGTACTAATGGATGGTTTAAAATCTTTTGATTTTGCACGTTACTAGCTTGATTACCTAACGATTTCCTTGCGCTGCAGAGCATGGTTACACCTCTATGGTCGAGTCAAATGACGGAACTCCTGCTCCTAAGAGTGTAGACAAAGTCCTGTTGAGGATGATCATAACTTACGAGCAAGCACCAGGCTTGCATCTGGTTCAACCGTCCTTGGCAACCAGCTATGGAAGGACTCTTTCACCTCCTCCTCCACCAATGCCAGCATCACCAACTCACTATCATGAAGCAAGCCATGGAGTCGAGCAAACGCCAGGCTTACATCTGGTTCAACCGTCCTTGGCAACCAGCTATGGAAGGACTCTTTCACCTCCTCCTCCACCAATGCCAGCATCACCAACTCACTATCATGAAGCAAGCCATGGAGTCGAGCCAACGCCAGGCTTACATCTGGTTCAACCGTCCTTGGCAACCAGCTATGGAAGGACTCTTTCACCTCCTCCTCCACCAATGCCAGCATCACCAACTCACTATCATGAAGCAAGCCATGGAGTCGAGCAAACGCCAGGCTTACATCTGGTTCAACCGTCCTTGGCAACCAGCTATGGAAGGACTCCTTCACCTCCTCCTTCACCAAAGCCAGCATCACCAACTCACTATCATGAAGCAAGACATGGAGTCTATGAATCACCTCCAAATCCCTTCCTAGCCTCAAGCTAAAGCTTGTTCTGACTGATCAAAGGTGTGGACGGTGAATATGCATGAAGATCTTCTAGTCTAAGTTCTAGTATTACTTGTAGTAGCCGCTTGAAGCAATAAAGTCTTTTCTGCTGCTTGTGCTTTTCCCTTATAAATGTAACTTCCACTATGTAGTTGGCAAATATGAAGTTGGTTTCTGTGGCTCTAAGGATCCATGCATTCATGAGTCTCAGCTTAGAATTTTTGGTTAACATTCGATTTGCTATTTTCCTTTTTCACCTTTTATATCCTTATAAGGTCGTTGAAGCTCCAGACACGATTCGGCTCTAATGTCTTGATTCTCGGCACAATGATCCGGTTCCAACGTTCTTGAGAGCAAAAGACATAAACAGATGTAAACAAAAAAGAGACTGTCTGAGAACACAGACGTTTTCTGGTAAATCCTTGGGAACGTAAAGGAATTATGCGTTTGGAAGATTTTTTAAAAATAAGTACTCTAATACTATGTGTGATATAATATATGTCGTACGCAAGATTAAAAAAAATGTTACTAAAAAGGTAGAACGTAATTCAAAAAAATATGTTTGTGACATAAACAAAAAAGAAATTTCAAATAATAATGTATTCAATCACATTTTGTACTGCATGCATCTTTGATAATACGAAAGAAAATGAAAATGAAATTTCGGAAAAACAAAAAGGAAGTATGAAACTTAACCGAGAAATACATTAATCTTTAGCATCATCAGGACAATAATTTTTTAACTTTTCTAAGTAACAAGTGAAGTCTTGATTAAAGAAGATTCATTTACGAAAGGATCGGAGTAGCAAATTATAGACCTATGATTAATTGAAGTGATAAATTAGCTCCGGGGAGGAATACGAATGACCCCACTAGGTGAAGACCTACATAAGAGCAGGGGGGGAAAAAAGAAAAAAGAAAACTCGTACTAATAAAAATGATATAAAGCTTGATTTCCTATTAAATGTGCATCATCATAGAGGACCTGTTGAATAGGAAAAACATACCGTATTGATGCCAAAAGTTTTATAATTAGTCAGCATACACAGAACACTAATTACCTTGGACTTTTTCTTTTACATGAAATAATCCAATTGTACTAAATTTTTGCAGAACTTTCATGGCTAGGAAGGTAGAGTTATCTGAAATAGCTCTATTTTTAATTTTAATGGACATTTGTAATCAGACCCTCAATCCACTTATTGATTTGTTCTTTTACACTAAATCAAACTATCATCCTTCTATTTTTAATTTTGTTTTTCTTCCAATCAAAAAAATTATTTCCTTTCTTTCTCTCAAGGGATAATGGCAGAAACCTCCCTTGAGGTTTTTAATAATTTCACTTGGCTCCCCTAAAATTTCAAAAATTACACCTACATCCCTAGCCCATTTAAAATGACAATGCTAACTTTAATATTTTTAATAAAACTCTCTTGCTACCATGCTTATGGAAAGGAAGGATTTTATAATTTTTTAACATTTTTTCTTCTTATTCATTTCTCTTTTATTTTATTAGAAGTATAGAAAAACTATCAATGTTGTCCCTAATATCTATCCAAATTAAACATTAAACTAGTATTATTTTTTTTTGATAACTTTTAATATCATCCAATTTTTTTGTAACTTTTTTTTTGTTTCAAAATCAAGGATATGTCAACAATGATTAAAAACAAATAACCCAAAATCACTACTAAATTATGATAGTTTCATCAACAAACTAGTCCATAAACTTTTATTAAAAAAATAGTCCATAAACTTTAAAAGAAACAAATTATTACTTTTTTCTCTATCTTAAAAAGAATTTATATTTCTAATAAAGCACCATGAAAAATACCCTATTCTAACAAAAGATTTATTATAATAGTTGATTATCAAATAACAAATATTGGCATGAAAAAATTGACACTCTTTTTGTTTAGAAAAACAAATTGAATTTTATAAGGTAAGGACATTTTAAGGTATTCATTAAATTTTTTACTTTATTCTAAAGTTTGATTACCAAAGTGTCAAGTCAAGCGAGGTAAGTGTACCTTTTAAAACGTGAAGAGAACTAAGTGAAATAATCCCTTTTCTCATTAAATGAGTCCAAAAAAAAAAACAGAAATGTTGTCCCTGAAATGCCAAAACTTAGATGTTAAAGTGTAATTTTACTAAATTTTATGGTCAAAATATAACCTCAAATTTATCCATTTTTAGATTTTTATAAAGTTAATCCTAAATCTGCACTCGCGTGGTATAGGTGACCTGCTAAACCCGGCAGATTTTAGAAATTCTTTTTTTGAATTACTTTTTTATCCAATTTTTTAATTTGACTAATCACACCAACATCAGCATTGTCGTCTTCTCTTTGGACCTAATTGTAATAATATTGAACTTTTTAGGGGCCAAATGCTATTTTACCAAAACTTAGATGTTAAAGTGTAATTTTACTAAATTTTATAGTCAAAATATAACCTCAAATTAATCCATTTTTAGAATTTTTATAAAATTAATCCTAAATCTGCACTCACATTGGTATAGGTGATCTGCTAAACCCGGCAGATTTTAGAAATTCTTTTTTTGAATTACTTTTTTATCCAATTTTTTAATTTGACTAATCACACCAACATCAGCATTGTTGTCTTTTTTACAATTAGATGAAAAAAAATTGAAAACGAATTTGAAAATTAGGGTTTCTTTCTTTCTTTGACACTTAGATTTATCATTTATGTTTGTATATAATATCAATATGAATTCATAAACTAAGGAATACATATGGGTATGGGTTGTGTGTATGAACTATGAACTATGAAATATGAAATGGATTATGGTTTATTAATATTTAAGAATTTATGTACTTATATTATAATTTATATGTTTAGTTATATTATAATTTATATGTTTATTTAATTATATTATTTTTTATTACATAATGTGATCCAACGGTCCAGTTGAACCATTAACCCGCCAACCTGATGTTGCTGCTGTGTTGATGCCGGATTGGTTTTAATAATTATGCTATCAACATCCCCATTCTTGGACCATCGCAGCGTGTGCAGTATCACTAGGTTTGTTTGGATAGAGTATTATTTGAAATAATTACTGTAACATTTTTTATGATGTGATGTATGTGAGATTAAAAGGTACTCCCTCCCTTTTTTTATAACTGACGTCTAAGAAATTTGTTCTAGTGTATTTTTATCTGTCGTTTTATTATCCCCATACAGTATTAATTATTTTTTCACAATTTTACCCTTTTATCTCTCTTTTTCAATACAGGGTTCTTAATTACTACTCCTAGTAATTATTGCATTGCTTTTGGCCTAGTAAAACAGCACCATTTAGTACTCTAGTGAGAGAAAACATGGGTGAATTGGATAATTAATGAGGGTACAAAAGGAAAGTAGTTACAGATTTAAGCAATGAAAAATTTTTCTTAATTGGTGTGCAAAACCTTAAACGTCAGTTATAAAAAAAGGGAGGGAGTAATTAAGAATATAAAAATGTGGGTTGAAAAATGTGTTTACGATACAAGTGAAATATTATTTAAAATATTTGTACTATTATGACGTGGGCTCGTACATTTCTTTGACTCTTGTTAGGCGGGGAAGTTCACAATTTTTTATTCTTTTCTCGATTAACCCTTTTCAATCCTTGGCTTAGTAATTGTCTTTTCCGGGTGCCTCCACGTGAATGGGCTGGTGGTTGGCGCCTCCTCCTCGGGACCGTTAGGTCCTGGGGTCGAACCTCCGCAGCAACATCAGGTATAAATGGGGGCCGGGTCGGAGTGGGGATTAGTCGGGCCGCCTTTACGGACTTGACCCGGACACCCCACTCCGTCGACAAAAAAAAAAAAAAAAAAAAAATTGTCTCTTTCCGGGTACTGAAGAACTGTGAAAAATTGCTGCCCAGCAAAATATCAACACTCCAAAGTCACCGCTTGCCATTTCATGATTTCAACCACCAACATGTTTCCAACAGCCTGAGAGTCGGAAATGTATTGCGGAGAACAAACAAGAAATACCTGGTCCCTTCTCAGTAATATTTCTCCGTCATAAATAGTGTAAACAAATTTCTTCGTATCGCCGGCGTTAGGGTTTTTCTTATCGGAACGGCTCAAGAATTTGCGGTTCGTTAATTTAATCTCTCTCGAGTTTAGGGGTTTAAACCCCTCCAAGTCCAAGCCTTTCTTTGCTACCCAAGTTCTTTTTTATTATTTATTTATTTATTTGTTTTTCTTGGCGCATTGAACATTTCTTGAAATTTAGGACGGGCGGTTCGCGCACCTGGGACGACGTAGAAGCATAACCTGCGAGACGGAATAGGTGTTTATTCAGTAAAACGCTGCTGGCCTGGCAACTGGCATGGTGTTTGAAACCTAATTAGCTGCTGCAAATTATCCCTGAAATTACCCCTTTTCTCAAACAACCAAATGAGCCCATAGGCCTCGGGGAGCCGTAACTCATAAACGTTGTCCTAAGAAAACGATTTTTCCCTGCTGGAGACTCACTCTCCATAGCAGGTGCGCGACACGGGTCGGATTCGGATTAGTCGGGCAAAGCCCGGATACCGGGCGGGCAACCAAAAAAAAGAAAACGATTTCTTCCTTTCACTAGAGGTCTAGAAGCACGCTTTTTAAAGATGGTATTGCTCGAAACAGAAACGAAGTACAGTCCCTCTTTCACTCTTTAGCGCTTATTTCTGGAAAAAACGGACAAAATGGCGAAGAAGGAGACTGGAGCTTCTGACGTGCGAATCGACAGCGTAGTAATAACACCATGGAAGGCCCTTCTAACGAACGTAACCTGCGGAGTAGGATTAGGAGTAGCTTTCCATGCTGCCAATAATTTCTACTCCATCAATTTGATTCAAAATCCGGCAAAAACCCTCCGTCTGATCTGGGTACTGACCATATCTATCAATTCCTGTCAACTCCAAGTTGATTATTTCTCATTTTTTAGTTTTCTAATCTCTCTCTCTCTTTTTCAATTGTTGGTTTGATTTTTTGAAGGTTATTGAGGCTCCAGTCGTGATTCTGCTGTACAGTCTCTTTCGACATCGTCCTAATCAATGCTCTGTAATTCCAATTAATCCCATTTCCTCGTCTGATTAATTTCTTTTTTTTTGTTGGTTATTTTTATATGTTAATCTCTTCTTTTTAACTATTAAACGAGGTTTTGATATGTGTATTGGACAGTACTTGAAAGCCGTAGTACGAGGTTTGTTGGCACTACCTGCTGGTTAGTCGTTCATTGCTTTTTTGTTTTTATATAATTTAATTAACTTTTATCACTCAAACTTCTTGGTTAAGTGGTTGGGATTTCAAAAGTTGCAATCTTTAATTGCTCTGTGCTCTTTATTTTTGTTTCTTATTATTTTTTAAAAATTTATGAAGTGATTTCTTTCTTTGAAGGTTAATGATGTACAAGTAATAGATAAAGTTGAAGGCTTTGAGAAGTAATTTTTAGTAATTTATAGGTTGAAAAGAGTTACGCTAGCACTGTTTAGCACTTGTACCTGTAAAAAGATAGGTTATTTGAATACAGAACAAGGATATTACTTGAGGACTCATTCTTACACAACTTTCTATCTTTTGTTTCAATACTTTGCCTGCACTAGTGGTATAATAGCTTTATAGCTGAATGTTCGTCTGTCAATACTTGCTTAACATTTTTTGTTATTTTGTTGTCTTTTTCATTATATTGGATTCTAAGTATGTTGGTTTTTGCATGTAAATACACAGGGGCAGTAGTGAATGCACTTGGAGCTATAGCATTGGGAGCACCCATGATTCAGTATGTAACTTATCTGGGTTGTTTCCAGTCTATTTATTATGATTTTGAGAACTACTGAGGTTAAACTTCAGGTTGGACAAATGGTCTCTGTTCTATTCTATCCCATGGTACAGAACTGCTCGTCGATGTTATGGAGTATAGCAAATCCTAGACTATCTTGCACTGAAATGGGTGAATAGCAGTAACCATTACTATGATCAAATAGACATGTGCAGAATAATACAAATCCTGAGTAGCAAGCATGAAAAAGAGTTTTTTTTTTTTAAATTATAGTTCAGGAGTTATTTTGACACTTCACAACTATTTTGTGGAACAAATTGAGATAATTTTCACAGTTTTTATCGTTATCTTGGATCGGATGTTTTATTCTGTGGTTAATTACAGGAACTTCAACAGGACCCTCCACTGGTCTCTTCTGATGTCAGTGCTTACTGTAAGTGTTTCATTTGACATCTCATTTGCCATTCTGTATCTCATGCTTCAGTAAACTCCTGGATCAACTGGACTAGCTCCGAAATTTGTGCTGGAAACCTAGTAACTTGAGGTAAAATTTGCTTTGTTTTTGTAAGTAATCATAGATAACCATCAAATTTTCCTCTGTGCCATAAGGATCTTAATCAGTCATTTCCTGGTCTGTAAAACTTCTGCTGCTGTTGGCAGTGTGTCCCAGCAGCTTCTGTGTTTGGTTCTTCTTGGGCTGACTGGCACCGGATATTTGCTCACACAAAGTAAGCATATGAAACTAATGTGATTTTATTTTGCCGACATCATTCCCTTTTTGTTTTTCTAGCATTGAGAAGTAATACTCGTGTTATTTGACTTCTGCAATTGTTCGTAACTTTTTGTTAGGCCAAGTGGACCTATAGAGTACATGATCTGCCTACCTGCTCATGGAGCTGTCATTGGAGCATGGTTTGGCGCTTGGCCAATGCCACTTGACTGGGAAAGACCATGGCAGGTAGGCTTACCTTCCTATCGAATACCGGTCATTTGAAACTTAGATGATTTTTGCATTCCTTTTATCTACAGTTTTGACTCTCTCTCTCTCTCTCTCTTTTTTTCTTCTTCTTCTTTTCTTACTGTGTACATCAAGAGTTTGTTCATCAAGAACTTAGTAGTAAGAGTGGCTCAGAAACCATTGATACCTTCAGGAGTGCCCTGAGGTCTACCATCACATGGCCAAAAAATCTTCTCTTGTTACATTCTCCAAAATAACACAAAAGTAAAGTATGGAACTTGATATGTTAATGCAGCGTATGATATAGTCAGGGTTCCCTGTTGACAATTCAATAATTGATGCTTAGCTTTCATGGTTAGATTGTTGTGTTGGCTCTGATATTCTTGTTGTTCACTTTGCCTTTTCATATAAAGATGCCATATTAACATTGCCTTAGTATGAATTTTAGACCCTGCACATGAAATTGAGTCTTGAAAAGCACTGGAGAGATGGTGAGGGTTTACGCATAGTAGTCCTGATGTGGTTCTGATAATTCCATGATGTAGTGATGTGTTGATATATTGTTCCAAGCATAATCTCCTAGGTCATGTTAGTTGCAATGGTTTTGGTAAATGTACTTGACCATATATGTTCGAGCTTGGCAATTAGATTCTAACTGTTGGATATTGTTCAGCCTTGGTTTGCAGCATGTGGTTCAGTTGTCATGCTTTGTACCCTGAGACTGAAAGTATTTGAATTTGTTTGTAGGACTGGCCGGTTTGTGTGAGCTATGGAGCTTTGGCTGGGTACTTTGTCGGGATGGCGGCAGCTTTTGGTTTTGTCCTCTTCCTAAATAAACGAAGGCATGTAAAAGGAGACTAATGATGGAGAATTCGACATTAATCTTATTGGAGGTTGCTATCGATGACCCTATTGATAGACTGAGTTGCATCCAGCTGACCATAGGACCTCACCTGCTGAGCGGAGGTTTTGTAATTTTTTCCCAGTAACACTACAAAACTCATCCCTCCCCAGAACTTTTCTTTTTGCCCGGGCAATGCAATTTGCAGAAACTTAGAAGTACCTTTGGTTCCCACTGGAAGTTCATTCTTTACCCTTTCTTTTCTCTTTCTTTTTCCCACTGTAACTCTATTTCTTCCATTATGATCTGCTACTGTCTTCTAAAGGGAAAATCCTCGTCTGGTGTATGCTGAGGTTGTGAACAAGAAGGATGTTATTCCTGAGAGATTAGCATCCATGGCACACATTCCTCAAATTTTCGCTTTCCATTGTGAAAAGCTTGAATTACTGAGTCCTGGTTTTTGCTTACAGGTGAAGATATTTCACAGCCATTGTTTATGCTTTGTCTTTCAAATAAACTTTGGGCAGATGGGACACTTTATACCTTTTTTTAACCCACCATGTTTGTACATTTCCACTTCTCATTGACTCACCATGACTTTTGACGAGGATAAGCAGAGACACAAACCAGGTCACCACTCATCACCCATCACTCACTAATCTTGTAATAGTGCTGCAATTAATGATGCAAGGACCAGTACGTACCCAAATCTTATTTGTCCATTTTCTAAATCTACCCAAGAAAAAAGTATGGTACCATGCCAACTGATCTTTTCCTTTTCATGCTTTACCATGCTACGAATGAGGGATTAGGCAACAAAATACCAAAAAAATAATAATAATAAAGAAGGAGAATTTTGTTTAGCATTCAAGCTCATCAAAAGGCAATTCAAGCCATTGGCCAACAAGCCTAGCGGTGGCGGGAAAATTTACCGGACGATAACGAGCACCCTTTCTTTCCAAGCCTCCGGTTCTGTAACTCCGCGTTCTCGTCACGCCATGTTATGCGTACGTGCATGCTAGACTTCCATAAAAGCCCTTGGGCATTCCATCACAATGACAATATTGCCCCAACAATGACCAAATGTCGTGCCATTATAGGCTCGTCACTCATCAAACTGTCACAGCCGGTCAAGCTACCGGCACTGCCACATCATCGAGGAGCTCAACCCGCGATGCCCCAGATGGCTCCTCTCTTTGTTACACGTGTAACGGAGAAAATTGCAAAAGTGGGCCCTACAACCGAACCCTTTAAAACTCTCTTAGAGCCCTAAGCGCCAAAAAAAAAAACCCCCACCTTTCCCCCTCCCCTCCCCTAACCCCAGGCCACTCTCAAGTCACAACCCCCAAAATCTCTCAAAAACCCCTTCACTTTCTCTCTCTAGAAAAAATCGCTTCTTTGAAATTTCTCCGATCATCTGTTTCCATCATCAACTGGTACCTCCACTTCAGCAACTGGTACTTGTTTTTAACATTTCTATATGCATATGGGTTTAGTTCTCGATTTTAATTTGGAGCTTTTCTTCTTTTTTTTTTTAAAAAAAAATTCTTATTTAAGCTTTATTTTTTTGCCTGTCCTGTATTTAATGTGTTCGGTGCCTTTTGTTTTTTCTTTTTTGGTTGTTGGATGATGCAATTTTTAGACTTCTGTAATTCTTTTAGTGCTTTTGGTGTGGTTTCTTGGATTATCGTAACCATTAACTGTGGGCATGTCTGGGCTTTTGGAAGTCTACAACAATTTTCGAAGATATTAATCGCAACAGGGTTTAGGGCTTTTCTAGAATTGGAGGTTGTATTCATCTGTTTGCTGTGTATATCTTGCGCACAGATGGCGGTTTTTTTTTTTTTCTTTCTTGAAATGTTTGAGCTCAAATTTTGCTGGGTGATTTCCATCCGATTTCTCATTATTGGGACTCACAAATATTACCAGCAAATTATTTCATGTCTTGGTTCTGATGAAAATGTTATTGAGGGAGATACTGTATTTACCTATATGCATACAAACGAATTGCTGATACCCTTTTTCCTCCCTTTTTTTTTGGGTACTTAGACGGGATTTATTGATTTGAGCAATAAATGGGCACGATCACTGTTCAGACAAGGTGGTTTAGGACTCTCTCTTTATTAGATCTTAGGTTTGTGTGCTTTTTGTTAAATTTGGAGTATTCAGCAAGAATTATGCCAGGTTTTGTTAATCGCTGGCGAGATAGTGTGCACCTACTTTCCAATTTTGCAAATGTGATGTAATTATCCCTTTATTCCATTTCAAGTTCTTTTTGCACATTTTACTTGAGAAATGAGATTTGATGTGTTCACCTATAGAAATTGCTTATGCTTGGTCTTCTCCCTTTAACTGTCAGCTTCTACTAATCTTGATCAGTTTAGAGATTTGCTTGTATGTTTGCTGGTGCTGGGTATTTTGCATTGACATTCTACTGTGTATCGTTTTACAGAGTTAGACTGGTAGACATCACTCTCTTGACTTGTCTCTCCACTCTGAAACTAATTATGGGATTTGACAAGCCAAATGATGAGCAATATCCACCCATGCCATTGCAGGGTGATGGTGGATGTATGTTTGCCAGTAGGGAAGGTGGAACTGTTGACTGTGGTCAGAATTTTCCAAGCTGTACCAGTTCTGCTGACTTTTCATTCCCATATGTATCTCTGGCTAATTCTGCTTGGAATGACATGCATGCAACCCATCATTCTTACCCACATGACCTTAGAAATGGTAGCCATTTGATGACTGGTCTAATGGGGCTTGACAACTTGCAAAGTCAGGACAACCTTAATTTGCATAGTCTCAGAGGTAATGTGTTTATGTACCTTGGCAATCTCAGAGCTTCTGAAAGTTTATATCCTGAAGGAAAATTAGAAAAGATGTTGGTTAATTAACTAAAGTAATATTGTTATTTCAGGTAGCTTGAGGAATGTAGATGTTCAGAATACTCAGGCTAACATAAATTTTTTGCCAACTGGGAGTAAAGCTGCTGGAGATTACCAAATGAATGTTCTGGGAGGAGAGGCAGAAGGTAGTACCGTAAACTGGTCACAGATTAGTGAGAGTTCTTTAAATTTAGGATGTGGTGCATCCTTGTCACACCAAAATACAAGTTTCCTTGAAGCTGGAGTTAGAAATGATGTCAAAGTAAATGCCTTCCATCCAAGACAAGTGGACGGAAGTTTTTTAACCCTTGGAATTGGAGGTAATCCAGAGACAAGAGCTAAATCTAAATTTGATTCCCGAGAGGTCGCCAATAAACTGGTGGAAGCAGTTGGGCCCCAAAGCAGCAGTTCCCAAATTCAACCTGCCACAAGTCTATCAAGTTTTCAAACTTATCCTGGCTGTTCTCCAAGTACTGTATACAAACTAGGTGACTGGACAACCTCTAAAAATGTTGATGCTATTGTTGGGATGCGTTCAAGCCCATTTATCAGTCCTCAGATGCCAGAAGCTTTTAAGCAATATGATTTCTTTGAGAATAATGCTAAGAATACAAGTTTTGTCGATGAGTCTATGGGAAGAAATTCTGCACTAGAATCTTATAAATTTTTTCAAGGTGATCCTTCTCCATCTTCATTGCCGTTTAATAGCACTTATGCTTGCGTCCCCCAACCTGGATATACCAAACAGTCAGAGTTGGGATCAGAAGCCTTCGAGTCTACCTGGGTGTCCACTCAACCAGCCAGAGACCTTCTGTGGAATTCTCATTCTATAGAGCCAGGAAATATCTCATCCTCCTTTGGTTCCCATTGTAGCAGCCTGAGGGATGTCTCTCTCCCACAGGATTACTTAGGTGAGTTTTAGAAGTTGTTTCCTGTCTCTTGTCACTTACGAGTGTAGATTACAAATTTGGCTGGAAGGTTGTCATTTTTATGTTTATCTCATAAACAAAGTCAAAGTTGGGTTCAATGATTTTTATTGTCATCAAGCTGTCTAAGTTTCTTTATGTCTTGAATGACCAAATTACGGTTGCACAAAGGTCCATATTTTTTAATTTACTTCTTTAGAAAAAAGGAGGAATTGTTTCCCCTTTTTTATGACAAAACTAGTATATGGATAAAGTCACAATCCATGGCAGGCAATTTCCTTGGACTGAGATGGAAGCTTTTCATTCAAGTGCCCAAAGTGATACATGCCTACATTCACTGTTGTTGTGAATTCTCTAGCAGCATGACAACTTTTCTTATTGCATTGAGTGTAAGCTTATCTGTAATTTGGGTTGTAGACTGTGTAGAAATTTGCCAATTAATAAAGATTTATAAGGTAATGAGAGTTGGAATTGATTTTGATTTTTGCTGTTCCACACCTGAGACAGAGAAGCAAAAAATGTTAGCTTGTGTTAGTATAGCCATTATCACTTAGAACAATCTGTGAACCTCAACTTCAGGAATTTCTGTGCTTCCATCAGAGGGTTGTGCAGCTCAAGCTGTTGGAAGTGGTGATCAGTGTGCCAGTGGTCAGCCAGATGGTGAGTGCATCTCATTTATGCGTATTTGCATCACATACAAATGTACAAACTCCTTACATGCCAACTACTTTGCATTTTATATGCAATTCTTTGTTTAAGAAGCTTTTGAAACTCCTTTGGCATTACCATTTTTCTGCCAATTAGGAGAAAAAGGAAAAGCTTTTGTCAGATATCAAGAACGTGTTCACATAAACACAATGGCCTGATCTACTTTTCTGTTAGTTCTTTAACATTATTTTGTAGCCTAGTTCAATTTGGATGGAAATGAGATTATCTCAAGTAGTTTCTTTCCTTTAAATAAAATTTCTTCAAGTGATTATGGCCGTGGTATCTCACACAGGAAGTGTTCATTTATTATTTTACTCGGCCGTACCTGATCTTTTGTATGTCCAATTAAAGTGATTGTGATCATGACTTCTACAATGTACTGAACTTGTTAAGTTTGGGGCTTGGGAACTAGAGGAAAATTTGTGGAGTTTGCGATAGTGTATGGTCTGATAGTGCTTAAACTAAATGTTTTTCCCCTCGTATAGAATCAAATAACAGCAAAATGGACCAATATTTTTCATCTGCTATCCTTGAATTAACTAGCACAATGAAGTGAGCAAATTTCATGGTAAGCATTTACTTGCTACTATTCTTCTGCAGGCCATGTATCTTCTCCTTACAAGGTTAATTCTGCACCGCATTTTCGAAGCACCAATTATCCCAAGAATACCAGTCTTCTGATTGCAGAGGGTAGTGCTAACAAGCCTGCTATACGTGCTCCATTTCCTCGAAGGCTAGGGGTACAAATTGATGATCCTGCTGCTACTCAATCCGCTACTGGAAGTGTATTATCCGAGAATATGGGAGCCCAGACTAGGAGTAAGTAATTCTCAATTCAAAAGCAGCTCAATCCTTTTCATGATGCAGTTGAATATCATATCCTGTGGGCTGTTTGATTTAGTATATTGGGCTGCATTTTTTCTGTTTTGTCCTTCTTGAGACCTTAACAAGAATAGTGCTTTAAGGATGACTACA